AAATTATTTAATATATAATATATTAAAAATTATAGATAAGGAAGTGTACATAATCACAAAGCAGCCTAAAATAAATGTGGAAAGAATGAAGATAAAGAAGAATAAGAGGAGAGAGAAATTCCAACTTGTGCTTAAATTAATTATATCATGACTAATAACTTCTAGATTACAGAATAATCGAAACATACACGACCAACTTTAGCACACATGAAACATATCTTAAACTTTATTAGTCCAATATTCTAAAATTGATCTGAAAATTCCTTTTTTCTTTTTCGATTTAGTTATATGCAAAAAAACTATAAAATTCGATAAAAATACCTTTAGAACCAACTCGTTTCATTTTATTTTTTTAACAAAAGAATATTTATTTATTTTTTATTCTTGACTCTCATTTAGTCACGCTGATCTTTGATCGTCTACTTTTTTTTTTCAGTTTAAAGTTTGGATCGATTTTTAAAAGAGCAAAGTTTGCATTACAAGGGCCTGCTTCACAGGCCCCTGCCAAGTGAGACACAAAGGGGTGGGGGCCACATTTTTTTTAATACATTTGGGTGGGGCCTGCTGTACAGTGAGGGGCCTGTAAGGCCCCTGTGAACCAATTTCCTGTACAGCAGGAATTATTCTTTTTAAAATATTGGATAGAACAACAAACAAATTATTTCAATCATTCTATGTATCAATGTTCTTAATTCTATTTAATTAAATTTAGTAAAACATGATTAGGTTGATTCTATGGGCGTGGAAGTATTAGTTTTTGACTGTGACTCATGGGTCTAAAACAACTAAACAGTTACTTGGGATTCTTGCAGTTGATTATTGGGTCAACCATAATAACTACCTTTTCTAGACACCTTTGTTTGTTACTACTTTTTTTTTTTCATTAATATGGAGTCTTTTTTCTCTTTCTTAATTTTACAATTTTTATTTTAATTTTTTTACACAAGAATACATTCTTTAGAATGAAAAGCTATAATGTTTACAAGGAATGAAAAGTATTAGATTTTTAGAATCACTATTTGAAAATTTAGTTCCAAGTGTTTATTTGAAAAGGACAAAGGGTCATGAGTTGAGCCAGCGTCGAACATGGTTAAACTATTAAACAATTAAATACTAAAATTAAAAGTCAAGCAATAGGAATTTTTATGTGAATTGGTCGTTCTAATGGAGTCTAAGCTTTCACTATTTGGTCTAGAACCGAACTGATTTTCTATTTTTAATGGTGAATTGACTTGTACGATCTAATTATGTCAACATTGGCGGTTACGTATTATAAACGTTAGAACATTTAAATCCAAAATATAATAGTTGTATATGTGCTAGGTAAGTATAGTATATCAAGGGGTGATTCTTAGTTTTTCTTTTGAATTAGAAATTAATAGTTGTTTTATTGCAATGAATATTTTTGACATATAACAATACTAAATACATTATTAATTTAGGATTCAACTTTTAAACATCAACTTCTAGTAAGGTTGCTTATGGTCAAAGGCAACCATAGATTAAATATTTTGGAAACAATTCATATTCTGGTTCGAAACAATTCACATCTAATCATAAAAATTCAATTTAATCGTTTGATTTTTCAATTACGAAAGATGAATTTAATTTGATTCATGAACTTTGGTCAAAAAATATACGTTTACTTATTGAAAATTCTACTCGTGCGTCTTTTTCCAAATAATTTAAAACTTTTATGCATAACATGCACAATTGCTAACTTTGATTATGATTTTTCCACACGTTTTTATGACTAAACCAATATGATTTTGGGGTGTTCCGAAAAAGGATTGGACCAACCCACTCGCCGTTTGTCTTGCATGAACGGCCGTCCACTTGGCTTGAAAACACTGTTTCAGTGCTGACTCTTTTGAATTTATATGGTGTAAAAATTGGACTTAAGTATCAAAATTCTAAATTTCAAAAGACCTAGTCGAACCCGTAATTTGGGTTGAAACCCCCATTTAAACCAAAAAATAATCTCTCTTTTTTTTTTTGTCAATCACATTTGCGTAAACTCTTATTCGTCCACGAACACTTCAATTATAAATTCTCTTATTTCACTGTATACAATATAATTCACAATGGACGCTCGAAACTTGTGTACCCTACTCTCTAGAGTATGAATTCTAGATTAGCCTAGCATAAATTCCAGATCATTCACGATACCCGTGTTCCGGTTTTTCTATATTCAAAAGAATATTTTTCTTATTTGAATTATTAATCAAAACTCGTAGATCAATTGGATTAAGAAAAAGGTAAAGTTGATTTCTTGACTTTTATGATCGTTTTATTGCTTCAGTACAAGAAATAAAACGGTGGAAAAGATAAAAGTGTACTTATTTGAAATAATTCCAAGAACTCAATTACCAAGTAGCAGAAATATAATTTATGTAACACTTTTGTGCCGCGCCACAACAAAACGTACTTAATTTCTGCTTGTAAAATCTTTAACCCTGTTAGTTTTTACTTGCAATTATGGATTAAATACAGCAACATTTTGATGAATCACAGGCCTGTGGTTCATTTGTGTCCACTTATGACCGCCCAAAGAGAGATTTTCGTTCTTTTAATAGTCTAAAATGAAATACATACATTTCACTCCGACCTTAAATGCCACAAACTATAGACAATCGAAATGACACTTGTATGAACAAGGATGTTTTTGGAATTAATCCAAGTGTGCAGAAATGACGTTCACAGAGGTTTTACCGACCTCTCACATGAGGTGGGTCCCACGTCGGACCGACCTGATTAAAAAATGGTTCAATATTTTTCCTGTCCTCCCGTTGTGTGTTGTCTATAGAGGTTATGTGAAGCAGAACCTCTGTACATGCAGCACAGTTAATGTTTTTGGGGGGCTATCTAGCATTACTTTTAAGAAGCCAAAGGAGTTTTTGAAACTCAAAAATTGCATTTAAATTCGTTTGACTAATTTTATAAAAGTATTTTCTCTAATTGGAAGCGTTTTTAGAAAAAGAAAAATTGATCAGCTGTAACTTTATCTAAAAACACTTTCGAAATAAGCTTTTTCAAAAATTAATTTTCATACAAAAATTAAATAATTTCCTTCGGAAACTCTTCTACAAAACGTAAAAGTAAAAACTATATTGAATTGTCTTTCTTAAAGAATAGATTAGTTTTTCTGCTTTTGAAACCGATTAGTCCCGATCCAGATTCACACGGTCTTCACTAAAAGTGAGGACGCGTTTATAGAATATCAGAGCATTTTTAGTGTTCAATGTTTGACTTAGATACGAAGTCACAAAATAATACTGTGAATCCCAGCTGAACCCAAAAATAAAAATAAAATTAGCAGACACTGTTGCCGGCTTTCCTTACAGGACAACAATATTTTTCCAAAATCTAAGATTACAAATTATTAAGTTAAAACTTAAAAAATGAGTCAAGAAGGGCCCGTTCAGGCCCAGACCGGCCCGAAAACGGCCGTCCAGTGAAACACTATAAAACCTGTCACCGCTCCCATTCTCAATCCCCGAAAATCTCCCCCTCTCTCTCTCTCACACACATACCCAAAACTCACACCTATTTCCTTTATCAACCCCCAAATCTCTCTCTCTCTCTCTCACACACACACAGAGAGTACAAAAATGTGTCAGCAAACATCCTCTTGCAAGTCCAATTCAGACAGCATGCTAACCTCTTTGATTCCCAAAACCCCAACATCTAACGAAAAACAACACCAACCACAAACAAATCATCAAACCATGAAACCCCACAAAACTACACATCTTTCTCTAGTCATTCAAGAATACAAATCCATAGCCAAAATAGCCTTCCCCATGATCCTAACCGGTCTTCTACTTTACTCTCGCTCTATGATTTCCATGTTGTTTCTTGGCGGGCTTGGCGATCTAGCCTTGGCCGGAGGCTCGTTAGCCATTGGTTTTGCTAACATCACTGGATACTCGATCCTCTCCGGTTTAGCCATGGGAATGGAGCCCATTTGTGGACAAGCTTTTGGTGCCAAAAAGTACAAAATTCTTGGCCTCAGCTTGCAAAAAACAATTCTTTTGCTTATTTTCACTTCATTTCCAATATCTGTTTTGTGGGTCAACATGAAAAAGATTTTACTCTTATGTGGCCAAGATGAATCCATTGCAACACAATCTCAAACATACTTGCTGTATTCACTTCCAGATCTTTTTGCTCAATCTTTACTACACCCTTTAAGAATCTACCTTAGAACACAATCTATAACTTTGCCTTTAACATTTTGTGCAGCTCTTTCAATTCTTCTGCACATACCCATAAATTATCTTCTTGTTTCAAGGCTTGGTTTAGGCATCAAAGGTGTTGCACTAAGTGGTGTTTGGACTAACTTTAATCTTGTTGGATCATTAATCGTCTACATTTTTTTCTCCAAAGTTTATAAGAAAACATGGGGAGGGCTATCCATGGAGTGCTTGAAAGACTGGAAATCCTTGCTGAATTTGGCCATTCCTAGCTGCATTTCAGTCTGCCTCGAATGGTGGTGGTATGAAATCATGATTTTGCTCTGTGGATTATTGTTGAACCCCAAGGCAACCGTTGCTTCAATGGGTATTTTGATACAAACCACTGCATTAATCTACATATTCCCATCTTCTCTTAGCTTCAGTGTGTCAACCAGAGTAGGCAATGAACTAGGCGCCGGCCGCCCAGAAAACGCGAAACGTGCAACCATTGTGGGCCTCTCTGGCAGCTTCATACTGGGGTTTTCAGCACTGTTTTTCACAGTATCAGTAAGGAACAATTGGGCTAAACTTTTCACTCATGATAAAGAGATTATTGCATTGACATCATTAGTTTTACCAATCATAGGACTCTGTGAACTTGGAAACTGCCCACAAACAACAGGCTGTGGAGTGTTGAGGGGAACGGCTAGGCCTAAAGTTGGAGCAAACATTAATTTAGGATGCTTTTACCTCGTTGGAATGCCCGTGGCAGTAGGTCTAGGATTCTTCCTGAACTTTGATTTTGAAGGGCTGTGGCTTGGACTTTTGGCTGCACAGGCATCGTGTATGGTGACAATGATGGTGGTTTTGCTTTTTACAGATTGGGAGTTTGAATCCCAAAAGGCCAAAGAACTGACTGGATCAAGCATTGTTGATGTCAGTGAAGAAATTGAGGAAGATAAGACACTTGGTGCACAGGACTCAACTGTGTAACAACGTAGTACGGTCCATTTCTATCCAATCGTCTAACGTAACGTACCACTACAACAGAAATCAAGGAAGATTGTTTATGCATGGGATCATGCTACAAGTATATAATCATTTACATAATACATTACATAATTGACATGTGGCGCACATCCATCGGTAGTCTACAATTTTTGACTTTTCCACATTTCACATTCACGGTCAGATTTCTTCCATATAGGCCTATGTAATCCATTGTGTACAATAATTATGTACATATAGATTTATCCTTATGCTAATTAGATAACAGTATAGTTTATTAGGTTCATCATTTAATGTCACTAAAATGTAAAGTAAGAAGGGTAGTTTTTTTTAATTATTATTATTAATTATTTATTACTATTTATTATTATTATTATTATTATTATTTGCTTGCTAATTTTCATTTCTAGCCTTGAAAACTCAAGCATGCATTTTTCTTTTGTACTCTACATAGGTAGGATATACCAAGAATTTAGTCAAGTATCGGCAGCCATTTTGATTTTCCAATGTAATAGACGACTAGGTATCATTTGATCTGTAATCATAAGACACGTTTAAACATTTTCCTTGTTGAAAGTTACCGTTCTCCTTCGAAGATGATTAAATTACAATTCTTTTTCTTTTCCTTTTCCATTCTTTTTTTTTCGTTCTTTTTTTTTTCCTTCTTTTTTCACCATTTTAAGGATGATTGCGAGGTTGACACGCTTCTTTGTAAGTGTTTTGTACCAATATATATCATTGTTGTACACTTTTACTTCCATTTGTTTCTCTACGTTACTATGACATGTTTGATTTACAATACTAGATAGTATTAAATGATACAAAGTCGAATTTGAATTTCATATATTACTTAATTATACCGAATATATTTATCCATCACTCGTGCCAAACATATAATTGTAATGGAAATGAGTTGACAACCCATCAATCCTCTGGCTCGAATGAATGTAATCCACATGGCTGTTCACTAACCCCTATATTACTATGCTCTCGTTTGAATCCTATTTTTTATGAAATCATTTTTTCTCAAACTTATTTTCAATCACAAATTCTTTCGATAAATTAATTTTGCACATAAATTCAAAAAATTTC